AGGCCCTTTAACATCACCCACTGCTCTCCACTGTCAAAGAGAGCAGCCAGGAATTAGCAAACCACAAGCCAACTCTCAAATCCTTGTCACTCCCTTTTGGTACTCTGATACTCCATCGTTGTCCTTTTCTGGTAACTCCACACCTGCAGATAGATCCCTCAGTCCATTCTCACTGTTGTCCGGGGGTTCAGACATCCACATTATGGTAGTGTTCTTGACCCATGTCGCTTTAATAAGCTGCATAAAAATGCAAGCGTTTTAATGTAATTTGCCTGTTCTTTAGCAGGCAATCCTAGATTGAATTCCTCTCTGGAGGTGGAAATAGCAATGTAATGTACAGTCCTGTCTGGTGTCTCAGAGGATGGGAAGCAGGGAAACAATTAAGGCCCTTACATCCCCCACAACTTCCCCCAAAACCCTTGAGTCTCTCACCTTCTCATCAATCCACACCCCCTCCTCTCTCCCCATCTCTCTCCTCCCCTCCCCATCCTCCCCCTCTCCCATAATTCCTTACCTCCCCCATATGTCCCCCATCTCCCCTCACTTCTCTCCTCCCCCTCCCATACCTCCATCCAATCCCCACCCCCCCCCCCCCCACCCTCCTTCTCCCCCATTGAACAGTAGATGCTAACTGAGGGCAGCAAATTTGATTGAAAAGACTTAACCTTTGCTCTCATCCATCACTCAAGCCGTCTGTCTCCCCTGCCACCCCATCCCCCCATTGCTTTACATTCATAGCCAGTTCGGGAGGAAAATTCCTATCATTTTCAAGGCAGCAGCCCATCTGTTTGGGGATGGGATGGTGCTGATCCCAGCAGTTTCAGCCGGTGATGTCTTCCCTACCTTCCCAGAGAACAACGCCATCAGGAACATCATCATTTGAAGTCATATATATGTGTGTGTGTATATATATATATAAAAAAAAGCTCAAATGATTGATTGACTCCTCTGACAGTCTTTTGTTATTATTTAGGAGGGCACACACACTGTGTCAAGAACTATTTAATCAAACGCTTGTAACCAAGCTCATAAAAACTTCAGGCTTTATAGCCGTAACAGTGAATTACGTCCGATAAATGGAGTTACAGTGCTCGTTTCTTGTGTTAAATCGAATGTTAATTAATTTCAAAGGCGGCATGGGGATTAAGTAGGCGAAATCCCTTCTGAATTCAATGCATTCACCTGGTTTTAAACCCATCAGAGTTGAAGTTGCCTGACATTGGATTCTATTTCTTTTTTATCATTATTTCAGAAATGCCATCAAGCTCCCATACGGTGTGTAAGAATGAGCTTCAGACCTAATTAAACTTCTGCATAACACTTTTTTTTTAAAAAAGGGAAGGGTGCAGTCCAATTGGAAGCTCTGAGGGCTGGGAGATGCTGGAATAACTCACTCTGAGATTCAGCGCCATAGACGTCACCCAGTTAAAGAGTTATGTGTTTGTTTGGTTTCAAAGGGAAGCCACACCTAAAAACCGACTGTATTCCCCCCACCCCCTTATTCTCTGACAACCATCTCTCAAATATCACCAGGCAGCGGAATACTGCACTAAAGTACAGGGTGTTCACAAGGGGCTGTTACCCACTCCCCTACCCTGTTCTTTTCTTACACTGATTTTTTCCCTTCATTTTCCGTTGCAGGTGAGTCGAGTGCAACAATGTCGGTCTGATCCCAGTAATTTCTTTGTCACTCACTCACTCACTCACTCACTCACTCCATCCATCCATCCATCCATCCATCCGTGTTACGGAATGCGTGACACCGAACATGGCAACAGGTCACTATCCGCCGTGAAAATGATGCCACTCACACACACACACACACACGGATCCTCGGGATGTCTGAAGGCACTTAAACACTTGCACTGAATGCAATGAAACACTTCTAAATATAATTATCATCATTCTGTCCACGTGTTTCAGTTGTTGGTCAGTGCACTGCAGTGAAAAAAACTTTGCGAACACCCTGTAGAAGGGAATTTTTGGGTGCTCAGCCGGGTGTCCGACACATGCCTTGTGATGAGCTGCTTCAAATTGCCAAATTGTGGAATTATTTGTCTTAAACATCACATGGGGGGGGAGATTGTGGTTGATCATTTGGCGGATCGTAAAGAACACTTTGAGTGAAGAAGGCCCTTTGGCCCATTTAACGTCGTCGTTTTACAATCCCAACCCTATCATCTTCCCATTACAGAAGCCACCTCCACCTGTTTCTTAAATGAAACCCAATGTCCGGTCCTCAACTGGTAGCCCATCCCGGCTGTGCTTAAAGGAATACTTATTGGTGCTTCTGCCCCAACCATTTACGTTAAACATGACATTGGGTGAGCTTGTCTCTCGTGCCCTCCATTCCACCATTGGCGGCCGCTCTTTCAGCCACTATGCCCCCAAACCCTGGAACACTCTCCCTCCATCCCTCCACTTTGCCCCCTGCTTCCCCATCTGCAGGTCAAACCTAAAGACCTTCCTCTTTGACCGTGCTTAAGGTCACCTCCCCTGCTCTCCCGGCTCGGTGTCTGGCTCCACCTCTGCCGAGTGCTCTGGGACTTTTGTGTGAGGGGACGCTACATAAATGCAAGTTGTCCGTTGTTATTCGGGTTCGAGTAGAGTGGAGGCTTTCAATACCCTCGATCCACAAACCGTCAGGTCACTTAACGTTGTATTCCGTGAAGCGCTTCGGGACGTCTCGACGACGCGATAAAGGCGCTGTGTCGAACGCAAGGATTGTTACGATTACTATTGCCGTTCCTGTTATCATAACGAGACAGTAATAGAGCCCGTTCCCCGCTCTCACCGGGACTGATGTCAGGCTCAGTGAGTTTTAGGCAGAGCTAACAATGTGATGCTCTGCACTGAACCAAATTGAGATGTGATTTAATATGCCTGTCGCATCCATCTACTCTCTCTGTGCTCCCAGATAAACCAACCAAAGGGAACGATCCCCTGTCGTGAATGCAAGTGCTTGTGACTCAAACCCATGTCCCGTCTCTGCTTTTAAGAGCCCCGACAATAAATTAGCACTGTCACCAAAGGCAAAGGTACCAGTTCACAAAGCAGTTTCCTTCCCAAAATTCACAGGACGACAACCCCCGGCAGCTTCCCGGTTCCAGTATTCTTTTATTACTCTTATTATTATGATGTTTTTTTCTTAAATTAAAATGAAGACACTGCGACAGTGCAGTCACTCCGCTGTGGGTTTGGGTTGAGACGGAATCAAATGTCTTGACTGCATCTCAGCCCTTTGAATCCATTGAAGCCCCTATTGCTTCTCAGATCAGTTGGAAAATTTCTTTTTTTATATATATATATATACAGTGTATATTATTTACTGTGAGACATGCGTGGAAATCGGTTTCCTCGGCTGATCGTTCACAGAACTACTGTGTGTCAGTCTTTCCGAAGAATTCGCAGGACACTGAGTTCTGAATAAAAATGCACTGAGACGTTCTCATCTCCTCCTCCTCTTCTTTCTTTTTTTTATTTTGCATTTCTATTCAGAGGTGCGGGAGGGGTGGGAGGGTGGGGGGTCGGGAGGAATATATAGGAGGGGAAGGGGTTTTTTTGGGGTTGAAATCAGGAGTGTGACGATTTGTGCACAAGTTATTGTTCAGATGCTGCTTCTCACACACACACATACACACAAAAAAAAACACAGCAACAGAGACCGACTGCAACGCCAGAGGTTCCCACAACTCATCATTCAGCAAAGGAGAGCTTGAGTTGGGAGAAGTTTCCCCCCCTTTCCCCCCCCCACACCCCTCCCCAGAGTGTTTGAATCAAATTGCTTGTGTGTGTGTGTGTGTGGTGTGTGATCGGTAGGTCGGCAGCTGAGAAACACCACGAAAGGTGTGTGTGTGTGTGTGCGTTGTGTTTTTTTTTCTCTCTCCACCCAAACGGTTTGGAAGAATCGTTTTTATTTCCATTTCGCAACTCCTTTTTTTTTGACCACACACACACACACACACACACACGCACAAAATACACAAGAACGTGAAAAAAAAACACAACGTGTTTGGCATATAACCAGAACATCTCTGCTATTACAGAGATGCTATTACTGTACCCCCCCACCACCCCCCCCCCCCCCCACCACCACCCCCCCACCCCCGGAAAAAAAAAGTGTCTGCCTACCAGATATTACAGGGTCTTACACACAAAATCAGAAGAAAAAAAAAGCAGTATTTTTTTTTGCTTTTTGTGTGTACAGGTTTTTTTTTTGGGGGGGGGTGGGGGGGGGGGGGGGGGGGACGGGTTCCTGACCTGACCTCAACCGCCATCCCCCCCCAAAAAAGGATTATAACATTATTATTAATTCATAATCCTTACCCTTTAAAAGAGACGACCTAAACCCTCTCCCCCCCCCATGTGGTTGTGACTGCGACTCCCGCGCGGAGGGGACGTTTTACTGAATGGGGCCGAGATGGCAACATCGCCGAGGATTCCGACCGCGCCGATTGGCTGCCGCTCCTCGCCCAAACCCCGCCCCCCCCACTCCAACCCCGCCCACCAAAACCCCGCCCACCAGCAGCCGTGGGGGGGGGACGGGCGGAGGGAGTGGGCGGCGCTTCCATCGCGGGGCGGGAGCGCGTCCAATCCGCAGAGCGGAACCACCCGGAGTCCCGCCCGCCTTTATCTCCGATTGGCTCCGCGGCCGCCGGCCGGCGGCGTTTCGATTGGTGGACGGCGCCGTCGCTCGCCCCGCCCCCCTCCTCCAGCCCCGCCCCCCCCTCCAGCCCCAGCCCAGCAGGGTAGGTTGAGCGAGTGTGGTCGCCGCACCAGGTTAGGTTGGAGCAGAGGCTGCCGCCTCTCGTAGAGAGAGAGAGAGAGAGAGAGAAAAAAGTTGTGTGTGTGTGTGGGGTTCGCACTCCACCGCGTGGAGGCGGCGGCGGCGGCTGTCGCTCGGTGGGGGCTTCTCTTTTCGCGTTGATTCGATTCGGGCTAAAGGAGCTCTCTCGCCCACCCCTTACCCCCCCACCCCCCCACCCCCCGGGTCGGCCACGATGAACGTGGAGGTGACTACCCTCTTGGCCGCCCTGTGGGTTTGTGTTTGGACGGAAGACGCGGGGAAAATAGTCGCTGATCGCTACGCGGTTTACTGGAACAGCAGCAACGCCAGGTACCGGTGTGTGTGTGTGTATATGTGTGTGTGTATATGTGTATGTGTGTGTGTATATTATTTAAAAACACACACGCACACGCGCGTGTGGACGGACGCAAGAGCAGAGAGGGTGGGAGAGGATGGGTGGGTGGGTGGGTGGGTGGGGGTGCAAGTGAGATGGGTGGTGTTGGTGGTGGTGGGGTGGGGGGCGAACCAAAGTTGCACACTTGCACACCAGCCCCATCCCCCCCCCCCCCCCCCCCCCCCGCGTGTGTGTTTTTTTCTCTCTTTGACTTACCCTTTTAGGTGTAATAGATTGAAACCTACAACAACCCCCAACGCCACACGACACACAACACGACGAGGTTCTCTCTCTCTCTCTCTCTCTCGCTTTATTTCTCTCTTATCTCTCTCTCTCTGTCTCTCCTCAGTGGTGTGTGTGTGTGTGTGTTACAATTTCACTCTCTGTCTCTCTCTCTCTCTGTGTCTCTCTCTCTTATGGCAAAACTTAATTGTGTATTCATCCCTCGATTTGCATCGGATTGACTTGAGGCTTTTTTCCCCTCTGCGCGCACTCACACACACTCACTCACTCTCACTCTGACACACACACACACACACTCACTCTCACACTCACTCACACACGCAGAGAGAACGAATTGCCTTGAATTAGCCATAGAAATGCACAGGTCTGTTGACACGGTGGAGGCGAGCGGTCCATCCCGGTCAAGTAAGACGTCGGTGGCTTTTGTCCTCAGCCATTCCATCCCATCCCATCCCGTCCCATCCCATCCCGTCCCGTCCCATCCCATCCCATCCCATCCCATCCCATCCCATCCCGTCCCATCCCATCCCATCCCATCCCATCCCATCCCATCCCATCCCATCCCATCCCATCCCATCCCGTCCCGTCCGCCTGTCTTCCCCCGTTGTCGTTTTTTGCATCTCGTGAAATTCGCACCGTTTCCTCCACCGTTTCATGAACTCAGCGATGGCTCACACAGAGATGTGTGGTGTGTGTGGGGTGTTGTGTGTCCTTCTCAACCTAAAAGCAAAGGGAAAAAAAACCAAATAATTTGGTTGCAATGGGGTGAAAGGCTAAGAATGTCCTTTGGGCGGTGGGTGGGTGGGGAGTGGGGTGGGTGGGGGGGGTGGGGGGGGGGGAGTGGGGTGGGTGGGGTGGGTGGGGGGGGGGGGGGGGGAGTGGGGGTGGGGGGGTTGTTGGGGGGAATCGATTGCAGTCGAAATTGTGGGTGTTTTGTTCACGTGTGTGAAAAAATCTCAGAGCCCTGACATCGTGAAATTGAGGCACCCGTTGGGTCGGGACAAGACACACCAGAGATGCTGACAGGGACCTAAGATGGTTCCCTGGCGTTTAAGAGAGAAGCATTTTCTTTTATATATGTATATATATATCATATATATCTATATATCTCTATATATATCTATAAAAAAGCAGCAGAACAGAAAGCGAGAACAGTTACCGCCTCTCAATAATCCGAACCTTTTCAGCCCAACTCCAGGAACACAGGACAGGTTTCCCTTCACTGAAGTTTACAGAGCATTCCTCTGCCCCCACACCCCCCACCCACACCCCCACCCCACACTCCCACCCACCCCCACACACCCCCACACCCCCACCCACACCCCCCCCTACACCCCCCACCCACATCCCCACCCCCCCCACCCCCCCCCCCCACACCCCCACCCACACCCCCACCCACACCCCCCCCCACACCCCCACCCACATCCCCACCCCCCCACCCCCCCCCCCACACCCCCACCCACACCCCCACCCAATTCAAAAAGGCGCAAGTCGTTTCTGCCTTCTTCTCTTTTTTAATATATAAAAAAAATAATAATAAAAATTAAAAAAAAAGACAAAGGAAAAAGCTTCGGTCTTAGGAAAAGTTCACTCGTTTCCTCACTAGTTTTCACCCCCTGTTGAGGAAGTCCTAAATTCAAGTAGACGCTGTGTTAGGAAACACGGTGTGTGTGTGTGTGTGTGTGCGAATGATATATAATAATAATATAATAACGTGATATATATATAATAACAATATCGCATTCACGCTGTGGATTTTTAAGGCATCGATTTTGTTGTCTTATGTGAGTCAGAAATCATTCACTGCATTCGCTTCCAAACACGACCTGAACACCTGGAGATGAGGCGATGGAGATCACCGGTTGTCTCTGTCTGTTCGTTCTCCAGAAAACCCGCAGATTGGGAATATATATATATATGTATATATATAATTTATTGCCAGATTTGCCAAACGAACGGTGAATGAATTGCCTGTGATTTTTATTGCAGGTTTATCTTTAGTTATCTTTTTTTTGGGGGGGGGGGGGGAAAGGCTGATTTTTGGGTGTGATTAGCAGATAACTAATTTAGGGTATAACGGGGAGAAGGACGGTTCCCAGAGGTGGGAAAGCTTTTGTCGGACAGTGATATCAGTGACCAACTCTGCGGCTTTAGCTGTTGGGGGTTTTAACTTGGGATCTGGAACGGGCGCTGACAATTCGAGGCAATATCCACACCCACTGTGTTTCCTAATCATCCTTGTCCTGTGGGGAGGGGTGCAGTGTGTGTGTGTGTGGGTGGGGGTGGGGGGGGGCGTGGGGGGGGCAGCTTTAATTTAATTTCAATCTGCTATTAAGCACTGTATAGAATCAGCTCCCAATTGCCCAAATCCTTTTTTTTTGTCCAAATCCTCAGGGTTTGCAATCTCAGTGGGGTTTGCACCCCCCCCCCCCCCCCCACTCACACACACACATACCCCCCCCCCACACACACACACACACACACACACATACCCCCCCCACACACACACACACACAAGAGAGCCACTGGATGGCCTCTGTTTGTAACTGAAGACATTCACTCATAAAACGAGTGTGTAACAACCAACCACATAATCACCGAAACCGCCCAAGAAATCCCAAAACCTTCTCCCCCATATCTCTCCCCCCACACCCTCCCCCACACCCTCTCCCCCCCCTCCCCCCTCCCCCCCACCCCCACACCCTCTCCTGCCCTAAATCGAAATTGTTCCCACTGTGCAGAATGAACTGGGTCACTCTCCAACTCAGTCTCCACTCCGTTTCGCACAGAGCGCAATACAAATTAGATTTTTATTTTAACTTGAGGCTAAATAAATGTCTTTGGAGGATCCTGAGCCACAGCCACGACGACTGCATATTTTTTTTTGGGGGGTTGGCCTATCCTTCCCCCCCAAACCCCCCCCAACCACCACCCCCAACCCCCCCCCCCCCCCTCTCTCTCTCTCTCTCCTCTCTCTCTCTCTTGTCACCTCCTTTCTCTGGGTTCAGAGGGGGAGAAAGGAGCAGAAACCCAAGATTTCTGGCTGTGCATTTTTGGAAGCGAAACCTGTCTTAAAGTGTTCGTTTGTTTTCAGATGATTTTATGCTTCAGTTAAATGAGCCCAAATGCAATGGTGCGCGTGGAATCTAATGCTCATTTTTGGCTCTGTGCGTTTTTGTGTTTCAATCTATTCTACAAAAAAACTCAATCCGGATTTCTGGCCAATGCTTTGCTCCTCAAGTTCACGTTAATGATACTCACACACACTCACACTCACACACACTCTCACACTCACTCACACACTCACTCACACTCTCACACACACACTCACACACACACACACTCTCACTCACACACACTCTCACACTCACACACTCACTCACACACACTCTCTCACACACACACTCAGACACTCACACTCACACACACTCACACACACACTCACTCACACACACTCTCACACACTCACTCTCACACTCTCACACTCACTCACACTCACACTCACACACACACTCACATACACACACACTCACACAACGGTCCATTTTAAAGCGCGTTCGTGATGTGATTAATGTGGTGTTTTTTTTCACGATGGATTGAAAACGAAACTGGGGAATAAGTCTCCAGTGGAGATCCTCTGACTGAATGGGTCTAAAACTATTCCTCTGGTGTTTTTTTTGGTGGGGGGTGGGGGGGGGGGGGGGGGGGAGAGGGGAGAGAAATAAAACTGTGTGTGTGAATCAGAGAGACACAGAGAGAGAGTGCAGATCAGGACCAGTGATCCCTTTAAACGCGCTCTGTGACGCTCTGGTGACTAAATGTTGGGGGGTTTTTTGGGGGGGGTTTGGGGGGTCACTTTTTCACTGAAAATAAACGGGGAAGATTCTCTGACTGAACGGACTGGGTCTGAAACAATTTTGCTGGTGGTCGGATGAACACTTTCCTGAGTTTTCTCCAGTAAAGACTGTGTGTGTGTCTGTGTGTCTGTCTCTCTCTCTGTGTCTGTGTGTCTGTCTCTCTCTCTGTGTGTGTCTCTGTCTGTTTGTGTGTGTGTGTCTGTCTGTCTGTTTATGTGTGTGTGTCTGTTTGTCTGTGTGTGTCTGTCTGTGTGTGTCTGTCTGTGTGTGTCTGTCTCTATGTGTGTGTGTGTATGTCTCTGTCTGTGTGTTTGTCTGTGTGTGTCTGTCTGTGTGTGTGTCTCTGTGTGTGTCTGTGTGTCTCTGTGTGTGTGGGTGTGTGTGGGTGTGTCTGTCTCTGTGTGTGTGTGTGTCTGCCTCTGTGTGTGTGTCTCTGTCTCTGTGTGTCTGTCTCTGTGTGTGTGTGTGTCTGTCTCTGTGTGTCTCTCTGTGTGTGTGTGTGTCTCTGACTCCGTGTGTCTCTGTGTGTGTGTGTGTGTGTGTGTCTGTCTCTGTGTGTCTCTGTGTGTGTGTGTGTCTCTGACTCCGTGTGTCTCTCTGTGTGTGTGTGTGTGTGTCTCTGTGTGTCTGTGTCTGTCTCTGTGTGTGTGTGTGTCTCTCTGACTCCGTGTGTCTCTGTGTGTGTGTGTGTGTGTGTGTGTCTCTGTGTGTGTGTGTGTCTCTGTGTGTGTGTCTGTGTGTGTGTGTGTGTGTCTGTCTCTGTGTGTGTGTGTGTGGGTGTGAATTATTTGTGTGATCACAGAGAGAGCAGAAGGGCAGATCGGTTCAGTGATAAC